AACTAAGATCACAGCAGAACTGAAGGAGATAAAGACACAAAAAAACCCTTCCAAAAATCAATAAATCCGGAAGCTGGTTTTTCAAAAAGATCAACAAAATAGACAGACCACTAGCCAGATTAATAAAAAAGAAAAGAGAGAATAATCAAATAGGTGCAATAAAAAACGATAAAGGGGATATCACCACAGATTCCACAGAAAGTCAAACCATCATCAGAGATTATCACAAAGAACTCTATGCACATAAACTAGTAAACCCGGAAGAAATGGATAAATTCCTGGACACTTGCACCCTCCGAAGCCTAAACCAGGAAGAAGTCAAAACCCTGAATAGATCAATAACAAGGTCTGAAGTTGAGGCAGCAATTAAAAGCCTACCACCCAAAAAAAGGCCAGGTCCAGATGGGTTCACAGCCGAATTCTACCAAGCATACAAAGAGGAGCTGCTACCATTCCTTCTGAAACTATTCCAAACATTCCAAAAAGAGGGAATCCTTCCCAAATCATTATATGAGACCAACATCATTCTGATACCAAAACCTGGCAGAGATTCAGCAAGAAAAGAAAACTTCAGGCCAATATCCATGATGAACATAGAAGCAAAAATCTTCAATAAAATACTGGCAAGCCGATTGCAACAGCACATCAAAAAGCTTATCCACCATGATCAAGTAGGATTCATCCCAGGGATGCAAGGCTGCTTCAACATATGCAAGGCTATAAACCTAACTCACCACATAAACAGAACCAAAAACAAAAACCACATGATTATCTCAATTGACGCAGAGAGGCATTCGACAAAATTCAACAGCCCTTTATGCTAAAAACCCTCAATAAACTAGGTATTGATGGAATGTATCTCAAAATAATAAAAGCTGTTTCCGACAAACCAATGGCCAATATCACATACTGAATGGGCAAAAACTGGAAGCATTCCCTTTGAAATCTGGCACTAAACAAGGATGCCCTCTATCACAACTCCTATTAAATATAGTATTGGAAGTTCTAGCCAGAGCAATCAGGCAAGAAAAAGAAATAAAGGTAGTCAAATAGGAAAGGAGGAAGTCAAATTGTCTCTATTTGCAGATGAAATGATTGTATATCTCCAAGACCCCATCATCTCAGCCCAAAATCTTCTGAAACTGATAAGCAACTTCAGCAAGGTCTCACGATACAAAATCAATGTGTAAAAATCACAAGCATTCCTATACACCAATAACTGACTTTAAAAGAGCCAAATCAAGAATGAACTGCCATTTACAATTGCTACAAAGGGAACAAAATACCTAGGAATACAACTAACAAGAAACGTAAAGGACCTCTTCAAGGAGAACTACAAACCACTGCTCAACAAAATAAGAGAGGACAAAAACAGATGGAGAAACATTTCACGTTCATGGTTAGGAAGAATCAATATTGTGAAAATGGCCATACTGCCCAAAGTAATTTACAGATTCAACTCTATCCCCATCAAGCTACCAATGACCTTCTTCACAGAACTGAAAAAAACCACCTTAAACTTCATATGGAACCAAAAGAGAGCCTGCATAGCCAAGTTAATTCTAAGCAAAAAGAACAAAGTGGGAGTCATCACACTACTGGACTTCAAACTATACTACAAGGCTACAGTAATCAAAACAGCATGGTACTGGTACCAAAACAGAGATATAGACCAATGGAACAGAACAGAGGCCTCAGAGGCAACATCACATATCTACAACCATACAATCTTTGACAAACCTGACAAAAACAAGCAATGGGGAAAGGATTCCCTGTTTAATAAATGGTGATGGGAAAACTGGCTAGCCATGTGCAGAAAGCAGAAATTGGACCCCTTCCTGAGACCTTACACTAAAATTAACTCCAGATGGATTAAAGACTTAAACATAAGACCTAACACCATAAAAACCCTAGAAGAAAATCTAGGCAAACCATTCAGGACATAGGCATAGGCAAGGACTTCATGACCAAAACACCAACAGCATTTTCAACAAAAGTCAAAATAGACAAATGGGACCTAATCAAACTCCCCAGCTTCTGCATGGCAAAAGAAACAGTAATTAGAGTGAATCAGCAACCAACAGAATGAGATAAAATTTTTGCAGTCTACCCATCTGACAAAGGGCTGATATCCAGAATCTACAAAGAACTAAAACAGATTTACAAGAAAAAAACAAACAAGCCCATTCAAAAATGGAAGAAGGATATGAACAGACACTTTACAAAAGAAGACATACAATAGGCCAACAAACATATGAAAAAATGCTCATCATCACTGGTCATTAGAGAAATGCAAATCACAACTACATTGAGATACCATCTCACTCCAGTTAAAATGGCGATCATCAAGAAATCTGGAGACAACAGATGCTGGAGAGGATGTGGAGAAATAGGAACACTTTTACACTGTTGGTGGGAGTGTAAATTAGTTCAACCATTGTGGAAGACAGTGTTGTGATTCCTCAAGGACCTAGAAATAAAAATTCCATTTGACCCAGCAATCCCATTACTGAGTATATATCCAAAGGTTTATAAATCATTCTACTATAAGGACACATGCACACGAATGTTTATTGCAGCACTGTTTACAATAGCAAAGACCTGGAACCAACCCAAGTGCCCATCAATGATAGACTGGACAGGGAAAATGTGGCACATGTACACCATGGAATATTTTTTTTTTCATACTTTGAAATTTTTTTTTTTTTTAGGGAGGGAAGGAGGAAGGGAGGAAGGCAGGAAGGGAGTGAAGGAGGAAGGGAGGGAGGAAGGAAGGGATGAAGGAAGGAAGGGAGGAAGGGAGAGAGGGAGGGAGGGAGGGAAAGGAAGGGAAGGGAAGGAAGGAATTCAAGCAATGAGAGACACATTGCCGACCTGGATCTAGAGGTTTACAAGTTGATTTCTTTTTTTGAGAGAAGGAAAGAAAAAAAAATGAGTAAAGGAGGGAAAGAAAGAGGAAGAGAGAGAGGGAGGGTGAGTGGAAATATTGCTTTATTCTGAAAAAAAATGGGTATTAATAATGGCCAATCAATGTCTCATTTAAACCTATGAGTAGGTGTGATGTGGTATTGACAAGAATGTATATTTTATGTATTTGAAGTGGAGAGCTCTATAAATATTTATTAAGTTTACTTGTTCTGGATCTGAGTTCGAGTCCTTGATATCCTTATTAATTTTCTGTCTCATTGAATCTAAGTCTCTATGTATCTGGGTGTTAGGATCATTAGCTCTTGTTGTTGCATTGATCCTTTTACCACTATATCTTTGTTGCTTTAAAATCTATTTTATCAGATACGAGAATTGCAACTCCTGCTTTATTTATTTATTTATTTATTTATTTATTTATTTATTTTTGCTCTCCATTTGGTTGGTAAATCTTTCTCCGTTCCTTTGTTTTGAGTCTTTGTGTATCCTTGCATGTGAAACAGGTCTGGATGTAACATGCCGTTGGGTTTTGGCTGTGTCTTTTGATTGGGGGATTTAGTCCATTTAAATTTAGGGTTACTACCATTTGATGTTGACTGGCTGTTTCATCCATTTGTTGATGAAAATTCTTCTTTATGTTGGTGCTCTTTACTTTTTGGTATATTTTTAGTAAGGCTAATACTGGTTGTTTCTTTCTGTGTGTAATGCCTCTTTCAGAAGCTCTTGTAAAGCAGGCCTGGTGGTAATAAAATCTCTGAGTACTTGCTTGTTCATAAAAGATTTTATTTTCCCTTCAGTTGTGAAGCTTAGTTTGGCTAGATATGAAATTCTGGGCTGAAGGTTCTGTTCTTTGAGGATGTTGAATATTGGCTCCCACTCTCTTCTGGCTTGTAGAGTTTCTGCTGAGAGATCTGCTGTAAGTCTGATAGGCTTGCCTCTGTGGGTAACCTGACCTTTCTCTCTGGCTGCCCTTAGTATTTTCTCCTTCGTTTCAACCCTGGTGAATCTAACAATTATGTGCCTTGAGGTTGCTCTTCTTGAGGAATATCTTTGTGGTGTTCTCTGTATTACCTGGGGTTGAATATTGACCTGCTTTGCTAGTTCAGGAAAATTTTCCTGGATAATTTCCTGAAGGATATTTTCCAGCTTGGATTCATTCTCTCCGCCACATTCAGGTACACCTATCAAATGTAAATTTGGTTTTTTCACATAGTCCCACATTTCTTGGAGACTTTGCTCATTCCTTTTTATCCTTTTATCTCTAATCTCGTCTTCTTGTTTTCTTTCATTAAGTTGGACTTTGACCTCTGTTAACCTTTCTTCTGCTTGAACAATTCGAGTGTTTAAACCTGTGCATACTTCTCGGAGTTCCTGTATTGTATTCTTCAGTTCCATTAATTCACTTATATTCCTCTCTAAGTTGTCTATTCTCAATAGGATTTCGTCAAACCTTTTTTCAAGCTTCCTAGTTTCTTTACGTTGGGCTACAACATGTTCTTTTAACTCACAAAAGTTTCTTATTATCAATTCCTTGAAGAATGATTCTGTCATTGGGATGCGCTCGTTCTCCATCAAGCCTTGTTCCATTGTTGATGTGGAACTGTGATCATCTTTAGAGGTAGAAGCGTTCTGATTTTGAGTATTCTCAGCTGTTTTATGCTGGTTTCTTCCCATCATTGTAAATCTATCCTCCTGTCGTCTTTGAAATTACCAACTTTCAGATTAGGTCTCTTGATTGGACGTCCAAGTTGTTAGTTCCCAGGGCCAGAATGGCGGCGTTAAGACTGATGGTGCTTTTCTGTCCAGGATTCTCCTGTCTGGCTTCCTTCTTGTGTCCGTAATGGGCTACTCTGCCTTCCCTGGGCTCCAAACCTCGGTCAGAAGGGGAACCAGTCTCGTTTACTCTGCGCCGAGAGCTGCCACGCTGAGGTGCCGTCACAGCCGCTGCGCTGGTCTCAGGAGTCATGCTGGGGACCCGTGTGGGTCCTCCAACCTTCGGTCAAAAGGGGAGCCCTGCTTACTCTGCTCCGAGAGCTGCCGCGCCGAGGTGCCGCGAAGCCGCTGCGCCAGCCACAAGAGTCACGCTGGCGACCCGTGTGGTTCCTCCACTGGGGATCTTCTGCTGCATGAGCGACCAGAATTTGTCTGAAAGTGTGGCGTCCTCTAGTTCTCTGCGCTTTGACTGAGAGCTGCAATCCCGAGCTGTTATCGATCGGCCATCTTGGATCATTCTCCACTGAATGTTCTCCTTACTCCAAGTATGTGGTGTTTTATTAGCAAGTAATTTCAAATCTTGAATAGCAAGTCTCTTTACTGCTTTCCTGGGATCATTCTTCAAATACTGCAACAGAAGCTGAATCTGCTTAGGTGTATCAACCAAAGATGAAGCTGCAAGCAGAGTGAAAGTGTGCAAAGAAACAATCACCATTTTGGTGGATGGATAGGATGTGACCAGCTGTTGTAAAAGCTGACGAGCACTGGAAGCCAGGATTGCATCATGGTGCATGTGCTGTAGGATGGGTATCAATTTTAGCTTCAAGTCTACTGGTGTCGCTAAACCTTGAATCATTTCACTGATTTTGTTACAGATTCCTACAGCAAAATCCTTTGACTGTGCAGAGAAGATTGCAGCAGCAAAAACGGCGGCTTCAACTTCTACATTATCATGTGAATCTAAACTTTGACGAATACTATGATGAGCATTCTTCCTCTCAGGAATTATTGATGCCAGACTTCCCAACATCCGGAGTGTAATGGCTCTTGCCACAGGATCATTACTATGAATTACAGAAAAAAATCTCTTCACAAATTCATCCACATTTAGAATCTTCTCCAAATGTTTCTCACTTTGTTGGGTAACTTTAAGAACACACAGCCTCAGGAAATTATTTCCAACTCTGAAAACATCAGCTAACTTTAGAAATGCAGAATTGATAAGAATAGGGAATGGATACTTCTGAAAAAATCTGGGAAAGCAAACAACTGCTTCACACTGTTCACCAAGTTTGCCAGATCTTAGGCCTTTGTCCAATTCCATAAGGGCAGAGTTGGTATCCAGTTCCTGTTCGCCATAGCCGGCATCTGCCAGGAAAGACTTAGTTGAGTTTGATGCCATGACCTGAACAGTTACTCGACTAGCCTCATCAGAAAGATTGCAAATTCAGCCCCAGGACCGCCATCTTCTCCCACCACCTTCTTGCTGGTTTTTCCTCCATGCGCTGTCTACACCATGGAATATTATGCAGCCATCAAAAACGATGAGTTTGTGTCCTTTGCAGGGACATGGATGAACCTGGAAACCATCATTCTCAGCAAACTGACACAAGAACAGAAAATCAAACACCGTATGTTCTCACTCATAGGAGGGTGTTGAACAATGAGAACACATGGACGCAGGGAGGGGAGCATCACACACTGGGGTCTGTTGGGGGAAATAGGGGAGGAACAGTGGGGGGTGGGGAGTTGGGGAGAGATAGCATGGGGAGAAATGCCAGATATAGATGATGGGGAGGAAGACAGCAAATCACACTGCCATGTGTGTACCTATGCAACAATCTTGCATGTTCTTCACATGTACCCCAAAACCTAAAATGCAATAAAAAAAATTAAAAGTTTCAGTAAAATGTATCTTATAAAAAAAAGTGTTAAAGGCTGGGTGTAATGGCTCACACCTGTAATCCCAGCACTTTGGGAGTCCAAGGCGGTAGGTTTGCTTGAGCCCAGGAGTTTGAGATCAGCCTGAGCAACATTAGGAGACCACATCTCTACAAAAAGTAAAAAGTTAGCTGGGCGTCATGATGCACACCTGTAGTCCCAGCTACCTGGGAGGCTGAGGTGGAGGGATTGCTTGAGCCCAGGAAGTTGTGGCTGCAATGAGCTATGATAGCACCACCACACTCCAGCCTGGATAAAGCCAGACCCTGTCTCAAAAAAAAAAAAAAAAAAATTATATAAGCTCTATAATAAAACTTCATTAATTAGGGGATTAAAGTTTACCTTTATTTAACAAATTATATATTGTATAAAATTGGAATTAAATATTTGAGGTCTTGATAGAAATTATAGAGATTCATCTAAGAATAGTGCTTCTTGCAAAACTTGGTGAATGCAAAGGGGCCCGAGGGGTCTCTAGTGCAGGTGCTCACTGCTTCAAGAAGGCAAGTAGCATATTTTCAAGAGTCCTTAAAGAATAACACTTATTACCATAGAGTAATTGTCTTGCCCTTATCTTTTCAGGTTCAAAAATTTGATTTCTTGCATGAATTCATATTAACTAAGCTCACAAGACTGATGTACTATGTCTCACAATCTCAGCCTCAATTTCAGATATGCAAGAAAAAAACAAGTTTCTCACTCCTCTTTAAATCAACTTATTTTGACTCCAAACCCCCATCATATGAGCTGGAGAGAAATTCAGCCTAAGTAACTCCTTGCCAAGGCAGTGTTGGTCTGGTTGCTGTCCAGACACCCACTGTTGTAGTCTGAAGGACACTCTCAGGAGTAGAGACTGTGGCTTTTGTGATGCTTAAGACCTGGGAACTTTTGGTGCCTAGGATCCAGCCTCCATGGGCACTCCATGTAGCCATTCCTTTCTGAAGTCTTACCATCTTTCTGTGTTCTGACATTTCACCCTCTCCAGCCTCAGGGAAACTCCTAGAGAAGGCTCTTTCCTCTCTAAGATCCTCTCTAAGATTTCTCTCTCATCCCTCCAAGAAATCCAGCAACATCTGGTCAATCAGCTTAGTTTTTCCAGAGCTGAGGAAAACCACTAACTTAAAGCTCCTTCTAATTTTTGTCCTGCCAACATCCTCATGATAAGAAATTATAAAACCTTGCTACCTTCTGAAATGCAGAGAAGAGATAAATATAGAGAAGATAAAATACAGTTAATATTTTAACAAATCATTCAACCAAACTACAAAAGCCACTTTATTAATTTGCAATAAATGTCAAACAGCAATGGGTTACATCCATATGGCTAGCCCACTCTCTCCTATTTAAAGTAGACTTTCATGATCTTCCTTAGACTGTCACTTGGTGAACATGAATCAGAGCCAGGGGCTTTAGAATAGTTCAACATTTAAAGGAATCAGGCTTTCAAAGTCTGATGTATTAATCCCACAATAGGGATATTCACATAATTCTAAGGGAGCTGGGAACACTGGAAGTTCATTGGTTATGATCTCCTGAATCCATGTTTACTTTGAGACTCTCCTTGTCTGTGGAGCTGCAATCTTCAGAGGCATTTGGCTGGCTGGGACTCTCTTTCCCCTGAGGGCACGTGGGATGAATACTGTCAACATTTGTCCTGGAGGCCGTCTTTTTTCCATGCTTCAACAGCTCACCACCCCTTCCGTCAAATAACAGGCCAGTTCTGCTGACCAAAGATCCAAGTCTCTTCAGGATGATTTTTGCATAGATCTGCTCCAGTAAATTACATAGGGATCCTAAATTTGAACTCTCTAAAAGCCATGTAATTTCTTTGCTTTTGGGTTACTCTTCCTGTACCCACCACATCCTGATAATAGCATATATAAAACAAATTATATTAGATCTTCAATCTAGGATTTGAAACACCAGAAGCATCCAAGCAAATAATCTGTTTTAAGGAACTTAAAAATAATTATACATTAAAAAAATTACATCATTATAGTATTTGAAGACTAGTTAATTGCAGCATGTATGATAATAGTGAAATCTGCTAGATGCAAATGACATAACAGTAATGTCACTGAAGTCAGATTTTTAAGTGTTGAGTTCACACACTATGCTGTGTGCTATGTTTAGTTACCTAAACGTTAGATATATCAATAACCTAGTTAGGTCAGGCAAGTCTATGACATTTCCTCCCACTCTTTACATAGAAATAATGGACCTTCAAATGAAAGTATGATACTCCAAATTTCCAAAAGGTTTAAATGCAGCCTTTATGGTAATTCCTCATATATATATATATATATATATATACTTACACACACATCAAGAATTATTAGCCTATTTTCTACCTTAAAGAAGGAGAATAAGAAAATATAATTAATAATAATAAATTATAAGGTTGTTTTCCCATACAAAAATTTAACAAGTTTCATCACCAACATCAGCAAAAATAAAACCGATCCCCACCCTCAAACTCCATTTAGTCATCTGGTATTCTCTAGAATCCTTTTGCTTGCCTTACCTCTCTTTTCAATGATTTTTTTTTCTTCTCTAGTTTTCTTAAAGTGACACAAGCAAGGTACCCATCATTACTAATAAGATCTTCCCTTCCCAAACTTAATCAATTGATTATGTCCAATAAAGCCAGGAAAAAATACCAGGTAACGGGCTTTGTGAGTGATTTTGTAATAGCTTTATCTGTCGAGATATATAGATTTGTTGTAGCATGTTAGGCTTCTGAAGTAATTTCACTACAATTTTAGGATTCCAAAGGCAGTCTAAGATAAACTGAAGTTTATAAAAGATCACTTCAACTTATTTGGGAATAAAACTTAGCATAATGTTTCTATCAAGTTGTGTTTTACTTTGATTTGATTTCTTGAGCATTTATGAAATGAATGTTTATAAATACATGAATATATTTACTTTGAGCTTTGCTTCCCTCTAACTCATGCACAATGACCCTTTTTTACACAAACTTAAAATAATAATAATAAGCTAGTTGTGTTCAGCTCTGTCCTTTGAGATGAAGAGATGCAGTCATAACCCCAGAGGGTAGTCATATGGTTTCCATTGCATCTCAGCATGATTACAAAAATGACTGTGCCCAGAATCTGTTCAGATGATTGTTTTAACCATGATATATTTTGTTAAATACAGAACACCAGTCATTAGGAGAAGGTGAAGCTGAGAAGAGTTAACATGTTTGTTTTGCTAATAAAGATCCTGTCTAACATATTGTCTACTGACCCCAGTCTCTTGTCATTGGAGTAGCAGGGCAAAATCTGTACAAATTCTCATGTCCCCAGCCAGAGTGCTGGCCTTGAGCACACTCTGTGACACTCATTTTACAAAGAAAATCCAGTAGGCACAGGGAGAGCTGCCTAGTATTGCCATGTTGTGTGAGGTGACAAGATTGTCTCTTTAGATTTGGTTTTCATTGCAGGAAATTACAAAATCAGATTGCACATTATGGGGCTCACTCCAAGAGCCTAGAGTGAGATTTAGAAGCCTTTCAACCCACTATCAAAATGTGTACAGTTCCTGTTTCACTGCAGATGAAACAATAATAAATATTGAGCAGAGGAAGTTTATCCACATCCAGAGTATCTTATTAAGTTAAACAAAAAAGTCATGGAGGCCCCAGGCAATAAGTTTCATTTAAAATTAACAGCAACCTATAAGCACATTTCATCAAAAACTGTAAATAGATACTGTATCTTACTGACTCTATAATGAATCTACCAAAAACTAAAACAAAAACAAAAACAAAAAACAGTGATAGCAACCATTAGGGCTTTTTTCTAAAATCATATAACAACATAGCAGATTTAGGACTGATGGGGACCTGTCATAAAGTGTTATACACAGAGCAGTAGCAAGCCATTATTTTCTATACTGAAATTTAGTTTAACATTTATAACAAGTATATTATAAAGAAATCTCTTTATTTGATCTGGGTGTGAGGGGAAGGTCAAAATAAAATATTATTAGTCAAGAAAAGACAATATATTTTTAATTTGTGGCTTATGATGTGAATTAATTTATTTATGGTTTTGGTTACCTATGTTACACATGTCTATCCATATGATATGTGTGTCTATATGATATGTATATCCAGTGGGGTGTTGATAAGTCAACTTCTTAAAAAATTAAGTCCTAATCTATTGCCTTTGCCCATTTCCATACTATAAATATTTCCACTATGGCCAATTTCAAGCTACCAGTATGATGTCCCTGAATATGGAGTTGGGAAGAAATGTACACACTTGACTCTTGTACACCAGTATCCACAGATATAGACATTACTGTATCTATACATATGTATGTAAAAATATGTGTGTACATGCACACACACACACACAGGTGTGTGCACACCACATACATATACCAAGAAGTCTGAATTAGTGACAGAAACTGAAGCCAGTGTCTACCTTGAAATCCACCTCTACCACCTATTAGTCATATAAGCTTGGGCAAATCACTTAACTTTTCTGTGCCTCAACTTCCTCTTCTGCATAATGAACATAATAATAATACCACTTACTGCAATAGTCCTTTCCAAGTTAAAAAAAAATAGTACCACTTAGTAGATACATTATAAATACTAAATTAACATATGTAAAGTGCTAACAACAGTAAAACATAAGAGCTATATAAATATCAGCTATTATTTTTGCTAACTCTGTGGGGTGTGTGTGTGTGTGTGTGTTGTATATAGAGATC